AATTCAAGAACCCAGATAATACTTGCAAATCAGATGTCCTTAAGGCCTATATGGAAAGATGGTAATTGCGAACCATGCCATAGCAGTTGCTCTAGATGTACAGGACCATTACCTAATCAGTGTAGTAAGTGTTAATTTTTGACATTATTGCAAGATAATTAATGTGTAGATAAATGTAATGAGAAACAAGGATATAAACTTAATTAAGCTTAGGGTATATGCGAGTCTTAGATATCCACAATATGTTAAGGAAATTGCAAAACTTGCGAGAAAATAAATTCTCCTTTATGTATCACTTGCAAATAAGGACATTTAAAATAAGCTGATAATTCGTGCTAAAATACATGTGCTATGGGATCTAAGTTAACTTAAGATTCTTAATAATGTGTAAAACCTTTAGTTGGATGTCTTTAATAAAAAGATTCTAATACTTGTATTACATGTGATACTGCTAAACGATATAGATTAGGATCAGATAAATAATGTACGTTGTGCAAGGAAAATTGCTCATAATGTAATCCTAATAATCTATCTGAGTGTCTTGTTTGCGAAGGACTTAAATTTAAAAATCATGATAGTAGTTGCGTAAATTTATGCCCTGGTGCTAGTTTTTATTCTGAAAGTATTGGAAAATGCTAATAATGTCCTCAAAAATGTTAAAATTGCGATGAAAATGGTTGCAAAAAATGTTAAGATGGTTACTATATTGATTTAATAACTAAAGCTTGTACTTAATGTCTTTCTAAATATAATAATTGCAAAAATTGTGATGATCTCATCTGTTTATAATGTAATAACCTTTAAAAATAAAAATGCTAACAAATCTCTGCTACAGATGGAAATAAAGGAAATACTGTAATTAATGGTAACACAGTAATAAAATGCCCGTCAGTATGTAAATAATGTAATTAATCTCGAGAATGCTTATAATGTAATTAAGGTTTCATTATGGAAGATAAAACTAAAAAATGTGTTACATGTATTTAAAAATACGGTAATTGTATAGCATGTACTGAAAATAAATGCACTACTTGTTTTTCTGAACATAAATATAATGAGTAATCAAAAAAATGCATTAAAATCGAGTCCTCTAGAAAATTACTTTAAATCTAAGGAGATTATTAATAATAAAATAATTATTAAGGAGTCTTTGTTTTTTTTATTTGCTATTTTATATTTGGATTATTATTGTGATGATTTATAAAGTATATGAAAGTTTATTATATAATTAATTATTATATATATTATTATATATATATTTTTTTTTTAGTATTTAATTTACTTCATTTTTTTTTTATTTCTTATATTTTTTTATTTGTTTTTTGCAAATATAAAGGTATTAATTTATTATTGATATTAATAAATAATAATATTTAAAAAAAATACATAATTGTATAACTGAAATTATTATACATTATTAGAAATTTGTAATTATAATTTATTTTAAATTATAAGATATATTGAAAATAATTTAAAAATTAAATTATTAACATGTATTTTTTTAACTATTTTAAAAATTATTTAGGAAAACAAAATATTATAATTGTTTTTTTAATAATATTAATAAATTTAAAAAAAAAAAAAAAAAAATTATTTTAAAACTTTAAATTTTATAATAATTGAATTATAAAAACTATTGGTTTCAATAATATATATATCTTATTACTTTTACATATTTTACTAAATGAATATTAATTATACTTATAATATTTATTTTTTTTTTATGTGTAAAAATAACATATTTTAAATATTTTCATTTATACTTATTTATTAATAAAATTTAATTTTAATGAAGAGTAAATTACTATTATGAAACATTTTAAATTTTATATTTTTACAACTTTAATTTACAATTGTACAAAATTTTATATCATATAAAAATTATTTAAAAAAAAAAATTATTTTATGAAAATTTATTTTCATTATTCATAATAAAAATATTATAATAAAATTTTATAAATAATTATTTTAAATTTTTTTATAATAAAAAAAATATTATTTATTAATAAAAATAAATAAAATATTACTAATAAAAAATTATATATTAAATATTTGAAAATTTATTTTAATTAAAATAAATTATGAATTTTTTATTTTTTATAAAAAAAAAAAATAATATATTTTTAAAAAATATATTAAAAACAACATATTAATATTAAAAAAAAATTACATGTATATATAAATATATATATATATATATATATATATATATATATATATATATTTACATATTTTTATATATTTATTGTTTAGTCTGTTTGTTTTTTAATTTTATTTTTTATAAAAATCAATTATAATAAATTTTTTATTATTATTTATTTTAAATTATATATATATATATATTTTTTTTTTTTATTTTTTTTTTTAAAAAATATTTTTTGAATAATTGCATTATTATATATTAACTATTTATATATATATAATTAAATTTATTTTATTATTTAATTAATTTTTTTTTTTTAAAAATATTTATAAAATTTATTTATATAAATAAATTAATTAATATTAATTTTTTTTTTAATATTAAATTCTTAATAAATATAAATCTATTATTAAAATTTTATAAATTAAATTAAATTTATTTCTTTTTTTTTCTTTTTATTTTTAATTATAATAAATTTAATATATATTTTTTAATTATTTCAAATATTTTTAATTTTTTTTTTGTTTTATAAAATTAATATTTATTTTTTATCTCTATATTTTTATAATTAGTATTATTTATATTTATTTAAGTTTTCTTTTTTTTTATTATTTTTATAAATTTTTTTTTTTTTTTTTATTAAGATTATGTTTTTTTTATCATATCTTAATACTTTTTTTTTTATTAAAATTTTATTATTTTTTTTTTTTTAATTTTTTTATTAAAATAATTTATATAATTATAGCCTTAGTTTTTCATTTTTTTAATCTATTTAATTTTTTAATTATAAAATAAAATAAAATAAAATAAAAAAAAATTATCCAATTCTTTTATATTTTTTTTCTGACTTTCAGATTCTATTTCTACGTTAAAATATTAATGATTTATAAATATATATTTATATATATTAAATACATTATTTATTATTTATCTTTAATATTTTTTAAAATTTTTATAAGTTTATGTATCTTATAAATATGCTTAAGAAAATCAACTTTAATACATGTTTATATATGTTTATATTTTTAAATGCATATTCGTCATCTGCATATTTATTAAAACATAAGAATTATTAAGTAAAGAAATATTAAGAGTCGCATAATTCATATGCTTAATAATTTTTAAATAGAATGTATATTTTAGAGAATATTTAGTATAAAAAATTAAAGTATTAATTTAAAATTTTTCTCCTCTGAAATTTTATTATTTTATATTATTCTTGAGAAAAAGTATATTTTTTAAAATTCTAAATAACTTTTAATACTAAAAAATAATTATATTTCGTCTAAAAACAAAATTTGTTGAAAAAGAAGTTAATTATCAAATATTTTATGGACAAATTAGTTATTTGTAAATCATATAAAATAATTTAAATTTTATTATTATTTAATATAATAAAATTAAATAGTTATATTTATTTAATAATGAGATCTTTATAAAGCTTATATAATTACTTTTTTAAATTATTAGTAAAATTAGATTCAAAAATATAGATTTTAAATATATTCAATGAAAAAAAATATTATGATAATATATCAAATAAATTATAGTATTAGATAAGTTTTTTTAAAAAATGTGAAAATATTTATATATATTCTAATAAAAATTTGGAAGAGTTTTAGAAAAATGAGATAATTTAATAAATTTATTTTTTGGTAATATTTTTGGTTAAATTTTTATATAAAAATATATTTTATATAATAAATTAATATTTTATATTTTAAAAATAATTTAAATTAAATATTTTTTTTTTTAATTAAATAAATTTTAATTAAATTAAATTTAATTAATGAAATATTTAAATATTATATTATAATTAAAAAAATTATATGATATATTAAAATAATAAATGATATATATATATATTATAAAAAAAAATTAAAATAATTATTGAATAGATATAAAAAAAATTAAATATAATTTATATAATATAAAAATTATATTTAATTATATTTTTTTTATTCTTTTATTAAAAATAAAAAGAAATAAATTAATTAATAATAAAAAATTAATATATAAAAAAATAATATTTATATATAATTATATATATATATATATAAATAATTATTAAATTTGATATGTTTTTATAATCATTTAAATTTTTTATTTATTTTTTTACAAAAATATTCTAATGATAAAATTATTCTCATGATAAAATTATAAATTATAATATATATTTTTTAGTAATTTATTAATCTTAAAAAGACATTAATATAAAATAATAAAATTAATATAGTTAAACATAACCTTAAAACACTTAATATTTTATAAATAATAAATAAAAATTTTATACTAATATATTTATTATTTTTTTATTTTTTTTATATAATAATTATAATCATTAACTAAGTTTTTCATATTTAATTCTAATTAAAATTTACTTCTATATATATAAATTCTCTTTTTAAAATTTATTAATAACTATTTAAATTCTTATTATTCAGGATATTTAAATAATTTAATGTTAAAAACTATTTAAAAAATATATTCATTTTATATAAATCTTTATATTATTAAAAAATAAATATTAAATATAAAAAATCTAAAAAACTAAAAAAATATATTTTTAAGTAATTTAAATTAATAATGTAATCTATAATAATAAATTCTGCTTATTTATCTCCATTTTTTATTCTTAATTTATTATCTTTTGAGGATTATTTTTTTGCTAAATTTAAAGAATAGCCATTATATTATTAAAAATTAAATAAATAACATTAAGATAATATATAAAAATATAAACCTATTCAAAGAATAAAAAAAGAAAATCCTGAATATAATTAATTAGCCATATAAGATATAATTTTTGATTGTAAATTTTAGCCTTCTACTTCTACATTATTCTAATCTAGTTTAAAGTTTTTTTTTATAATAAAACAAATATGTTGAAAAAAATTAATTTATTTTTTAAGATTAGCAAATTATAAATATATGATATATAATTTTATGCATTAGAATTAAAGTATTTTATATCCTCTAATTGTAAAATTTCAATATATATGTAAAAAAATTATTTATTTAATTTTTTGTATTTAATAAAAAAAGGGTATAGGAACATTTTACGCTCCAAAAGGTATTAATAGAATTATTAACGTTCTTTTAATATCTAGAATGGGTTTACTTGTGTATGATATATATTAAGATAATAAATATAATTAAAGTAAAATATAAAAATATTTTTTTGATTAAAATATTATTTATATCAATTTAAAGTTAATTATAGTTCAGAAAAAATTCTTTATCTTATGTTTAATGTGGGTCTTACTTGGTCTTTCTTTTTATGCTTGCTTTAGTCCT